TGGTGTGGACATTCTTTGTTCATATTGCTTGGGGCTCTGCATGATTTCTGGACTTGGATGTCTGTTTCCTTCCTCAGATTAGGGAGGTTTTCAGCTCTTATATTTTCATGTTTTCTGCCCCCTTCTCCCTCTCTTCTCCTTCTGGGATCCCTATAATGTGAATGTTCTGCCTGATGAGGTCACAGAGGTCCCTTCACCTACTCTCATTTTTTATTCTTCTGGCTGTTCAGCTTGAATCCTTCGCATTACCAGTCTGTTCTTCAGCCTCCTCCAGTCTGTGTCCCTTTAGTTTATTTTTCATTTCAGGTATTGAATCCTTCGTCTCTGACTCATTCTTTTTTATATTTTCTGTCGTTCTGTTAAAGTTCTCACTGAGTTCATCCACTCTTTCATCAAGTACAGTGAGTTCCTTTATGGCCATTACTTTGATCTCTTTATCAGGCCTACTGTTTATCTCCATTTCATTTACTTCTTTTTCTGTGATTTTGTCTTATTCTTATATTTGGGATATATTCCTCTGCCTCCTCATTTTGTCTAAGTCTTCTGGGCTTGAAAGTGGCCTTGTGTAGAAGCAGTCCTGTAGTATCCTATAGCACAATTCCCTCAACCCGTCTTCAGAATCACATGCTCTAGGGATGTCCCCGTGGGCTGTATATACCACAGCTGTAATTGCTGTGGACATGCTAGTGATTGGGGCTGGCCCTCAACCCAGCTGGTGCAATGACCTGTGTTGCCTGTTGCAGGCTCACTGGGGAGGGTTTGCTGTCCATGCTGTTGAGAGTCCTGTTTAGAGCAGCTGTGGGATCACTGGTGGGCAGGGCTGGCCCTCTGCGTGGCTGTATGCAATTAGCAACCGCACAAGCTGTGGGTACTTTCTCGCTACAGAGCTGAGAAGCCCAGCCCCAGGAACTGTGGGCATGCTGATGTGTAGGGTTATTTCTGCCTCCCCTCCCCAGGGCAGGAATCACTTTGAGGGGGCACCAGTCCTTACCAGCATTGCATGTTGGGTATGGTAGTTCCACAAGGAAACTCCAGGGTAGGCACATGGTCCTGGCAAGGTAGATGGAAAGTATCAGAACTGGCTCCCACAAGCATCTGGCTATGTAGTCTGAGGAGGGCAAGAAAATGACACCCACCACTTTTGTTCCTGGAGAAATCTCTGTAGATTCCTGTCCCTTTGGCCCATGTCCTACAATCAGTCAATAAATCCCCTTCATATCCCCTTCATATATATCCCACTCTGCTTTGCAGAGTGCTTCCTTTGTGCTATGTCTTGGCCTTATTATTTAGCATCCTGGCTCTTGAAGGGCAGAGACTTTATTTCTTGTGACCCTCCATCTCTCCCAGAGTTAAGCCCCACTTATTTCATAGATAAATGTTATGGGGACTCTTCTTTCCAGGAGGATCCCCAGGGCCAGGGGTGCCTGGTGTGGGATCTGATCCTTTTACTCTTTTGTGCTTGTGATAACCTTCCCATTTGTGCTTGGTCACATTGGGTCTGCTTCTCAACTGTGTCTGTGTCTCCACCTCTGCTAGTTTTTTTTTTTTTTTAATGTTTGTTTATTCATCCTTAAGAGAGAAAAGCAACACAAGCAGGGGAGGGGCCGAGAGAGAGGGAGACACAGAAGCTGAAGCAGGCTCTGCACTGACAGCAGTAAGCCTGATGTGGGGCTTGAAATCACAAACTGTGAGATCACAACCTGAGCCAAAGTCAGATGCTTAACCAACTGAGCTTCCCAGGTACCCCTCTGCTGGCCTTTTTGATGTGGCCTCCTCTCTACAACCAGCTGTAGAAGCTCTAGTCTGCAGGCTTCAGGTTGTTTTCAGAGTGAGCTGTAATACATGTAGTTGTTGCTTCAGTGTGTGCATGGCATTAGGGAGCTCAGGATCCTCCCACTCTGCCATCTTCCCTGCTCCTTAGGATCTTCTAATGTCAGTGCTTTCTTTTCATTTGCCATTGTACATAACACGTTACCAAACTAACAGCCACCAGGATACAGTATGGCCCAAATACAGCAGGTTCATTTCTGTCTTATAGCCGGTCTTTGATGTCTATCATGTGTCCATTAATATCACTCACCCAAACTAAAAGTGGGAAAACTGGGACCAGTAATTATAGAGTTAAGAAAACAAATATGTAGAGGGAGAACAGTCACTTAGTAGGACCTTTAGCCTTTTTTTACCCCGTGGGATTTGGGGTTTAGATAAATAATTAATAATTTATAACAATAAGTTATTTATTATTAATAATTGAGTAATGGTACTGGCTTGCTGGGCCACCCAAGGCAGACCACTTCATCCCTTCGGGCCTATTACATGAGAATTAACAAATTTACTTAAGTCCTTGAAATTAACAAAAATCTAAATCACTGAATCACTGGGTAAATTTGATTTCAAAGTTGATACACATTAGATATGTCATTTGCGAGTATCATTTCCCATTCCGTCAGTTGTCTTTTAGTTTTGATTGTTTCCTTTGCTGTGTAGAAGCTTTTTATCTTAATGAGGTCCCAATAGTTCATTTTTGCTTTTAATTCCCTTGCCTTTGGAGATGTGTCAAGCAAGAAATTGCTGCCGGCTTTCTCCTCTAGGGTTTTGATGGTTTCCTGTCTCACATTTGGGTCTTTCATCCATTTTAAGTTAATTTTTGTCTATGGTGTAAGAAAGTGGTCTAGTTTCATTCTTCTGCATATTGCTGTCCAGTTCTTCCAGCACCTTTTGATAAAGAGACTGTCTTTTTTTCCATGGGATACTCCATTTCCTTAAAGACAAGTATGCACATATAGATTTTCAGATTTTGCTATTTGGTAGCCACTAAGGATTCTCATGATCTTTCAGCGAGAGAAGCAACATTGAAACAAGCAAAGCAAGAAACAGTGTTTAAAAAATAACTGAGATCAGATCTACTGTTCTAGGCTAGCTACAGGAAGGGGGTGGGGCTGATAAAACCAAGACAGCACAGAAGCAGGAAGTGACTGCAGGTGCCTGTGGCTCAGCAAAGTATAGAGATTATAGTTTTTCCAAAAGCCTTTTGGGTGAGAATTACTATCTTTAAACTCAGGGTTAAAGTCTCCTTTTAATGCAATAGTGTAAGGAAGTGTGGGCTTACAAACTCATGGTTCCAAATGAACAAGGCCTGAGAGAAGAGTGGGTAATGACTAAAATACAGATATAAAGTAAGATGCCTCTGACGGAAACAATTATTACTGCAAAACTGAAGAATAGATGTTATTCCTAATGCCATAAGGACTGTGCCAAGGGCAAGGGAGATATTTGCTGGCTAGGAAAACAAAACAGACGAGGACTTTCCCTACACCCTTAACCTTTAAATATGAATTGAGAAAAGGAAAAGCGAGCATTGTTTTAAGTCATATCTGTCCGTACCAAACACTGTCAGCACCCCCAAACTATTCTGCGCACTAGCAGTCAGCCCAAGACCTTCCCCTACCTCAAGGCCCCCACCAGCCAAGGATGCATTATAGAAACCTTCTTATCTACCTCATTTATTCGACTACAAAATCTACTTTGGATAGCATATGCTAACAATGCAAGCCTACTTATTCTACTAAAACCACACTGGTTCTGGTGGGGATCATGAGTACAGAAGAGGGAAAAAAACGAAACACTTCCAGTCTGTCTCTAGGAAGATCAAAGTGCTGAAAACGTGACAGTAAATCATCAATTTGGATTATAAGGCTTTGGCATTTGTGTCAATTTGAATAGAAGCCAAGGAAATTATTTCTGAATAACGTTAAAAATAACTACTCCTCGGCAGAGCTTGCCCTGGTGGGGGCAGCCCAACCCGGGAATGCTTTGCCAGGCTGGGATGCGCAGTGTCCCATTCTTCATTTTTAAAAATCAGTCCTGACTTTTGGCCTTTCTGGAGGAGGAAGAATCTGTAAAAACAAAACTGTAAAGGTTAGATAATGTTATTGAGGAAGGTCTTAACTAAATGGTACAGGGTTTAAAAGCATTAATTAATAATCCAAATTTTTGTATTAAAAATATGCAACATTCTGTGTATTTAGCGAAAGAGTTAAATAGAGCTGGAAACCCATCATTTGTTTCAGGATTTGCCATTTTTTTCCTAGAGCCCTCTAGGACTTTCTTCAGGATTGTTATTTTCCAAAACAGAATAAAAAGATATTGGTTGAGAAAATACTTCAAGTTCATAAGTAAAACCAATTTTTAAACTATAGAAATACATGGTAAATAATCTGCCTGCTTATCGATACCCAGCGTACTGGTTTTAGAAGCAGTTGTATAAGGAATCCTGGAGGGGAAATGGGGGCGGGGGAGGGAATAAATGGCTGAAGGGCATTAAGGAGGGGACTTGTTGGGATGAGCACTGGGTGTTATATGTAAGTGATGAATCACTAAATTCTACTCCTAAACCATTATTACACTATATGTTAACTAACCTGAATTTAAATTAAAAAAAATTGTAAATCTGGGTCCAAATCCCATTTTTTACTTACCAGCTGTAACCTCAAGTTACTTGCCCTGTAAAGCCAGGCTCGTAATACATACTCTACAAGACAGAGAATTACATGACGAATGTATAAAGTGTTTAGCACAGAACTTGGTCCATGGTGGCATTTTAGAAATACTGGTTGCCCTGCCCCTTGTCCGAGTATCTGCTTCCTGGGGCTTAACATAGCAAATGGAGATGCATATACAGTATTTAGATTCCAAAGACTGTCCAAAGATTCTTGCTGTTCCCGCAGGACTTAGCCTCTACCAAAAGCCATACGTATTGGAGAGAACAAGTACTAGAAAGATCATCTAGATTTTCATCTAACTCGATGACAAAACAGTAAGGAACCCTGGCTTTCATGTCTCTGTGCAGGCTACTCCCGAAGGAGCTGTGAGGCTAGAACTGAAGAGGCAGCAGGATTCAAGGCACTTGTCCAAACAAGAATTTATAATGATAGAAGCCCTGTGAACTCTGAGCTAATACAAATCTATTTATTACACAAATTCTTTTCTTCTTTCTCTAGAAAACAAATGATGATGCAATCGATTTTGATTACACCGTTCTACTCCATGAATTCTCAACACAGGTAAAACATAGAATTGTATAGACGTTGGAAGGTAGAGGAGGGAAACAGGAAAGTATCATCCAAACTGAGAAGGCATCTTGAGACCAAAACAGAGCAGGCAGCTGCACACAGCTTACACGGAGTTGTATTCAGCGTTACTTACTGACGGAGTAGCGGCAGGCGCCACTGTTCTCTGCAAAGGCTGGATTGTCAGCGCACAGATCTTAGAGGGCAAAGGGATGTTCAGAGGTCACTGGGGTGAGGCCAGCGGTCTAATATTTTCACAGACCTCGCGGCACCATCCGTGCAGGGTCGGAGGTGTGGGCACTGTGCAAGCCCTACTAGTTATCAAAACAACATTCGGAGACCTCAAAACAAGCTTTCCTGCATTTGGGGCAGGGCCTACTACCTACCTCCGACTGGCCTGGAACATGGCATTGCACGGACGTGAGCAAGATGGGAGGTCAAAGACAGTCAGTGTTGTCAGCACTCCTATGATACAGAAATGCTTTTACCAGAAATGTTTGCAGATCATAGTACTTTAGAACTCTTATTTTCTAGGAAATCATTCCCTGTCGTATTCACTTGGTCTGGTACCCTGGCAAACCACTTAAAGTGAAGTACCACTGTCAAGAGCTACAGACACCAGAAGAAGCCTCTGGAACTGAAGAAGGTTCAGCTGTGGCACCAACAGGGCTTAATAATTTCTGAAAAGAACAAAAGGTCTGCTTATACCAAATTCTAAACAAAGTGACTCTATTAAATAGTGTAAGTCATTATTCTGCTAAAATAGGTAAGGTATAAAGCATTCTAATATTTTTTAGAAAGCCTGCAAATTATAATACTTAACAATTAAAAGATTCTGTGGTTTTTGTTTTTTGATTAGTTTGGTTTATTTAGTTAATTCTGGGAACACAAGCATACTGAACTCTGCTCAGTGCTGAACAGTTTATTCCACAAGTTTCTTGGGGATTCAGCCCTAAAATGTAAAAAACAATCAATTGGTATGTACTGTAACTGGATCAATAAGTATTTATTTAGCAAAGCAAAACACAAATTGACAGTCTTACCTTTAAAGCTGTATTTCTCATTGCTTTGAACATAGCACAGCCAACTATTTTCTATTGGTAAATTCCTTCTACTTAGTATATAAAAAAGATAATATATTTCAATGAAAGCAAATTGCAGAGAAAATAGTACCAGTTTAGAACAAACTTTAATATTTTTTTATCATTTCAAGCAAGTATTTTTTTAATATCTACTTTTATATATATAATGTGTTCAGTGTGTTTATAGAGATTTGTATACACAGGCAAAATACTCAGTGCTAAACTGAATTAAGTGAACTTTTAATATTAATTCAAATTTTATAAATAAAAAGTGTTTCATGGATAAAGTGGAGTGTCTGCAAATGTATTAAGTGGAATAATGATGTAACTGAAGTTCTATCAAATATATACAATTTTCATACATACAAAATTCTATAACAATTTGCACCCCAGTGTTGGCCTAAATTAATTTATAAAAGTAAACATAATATGTACTGTAATCAAATTCGGTGGAGTAACTCCCACAAGGCAGGAAGAAATGATCCAGGAAACATAGCCATCATTTGCCTCTCAAAATTTCTATCCTTTGTAGGGGGAGAATTTAAATTTTCTTCCACCCATCAAGCTTCTTCCAGCTGGTCTAAGAATTAAGGGGCACCTGGGTGGCTCAGTCAGTTGGGCGTCCAACTTCGGCTCAGGCCATGATCTCACGTTCCATGGGTTCCAGCCCTGCGTCGGACTCTGTGCTGACAACTCATAGCCTGGAGCCTGTTTCAGATTCTGTGTCTCCTTCTCTCTCTGCTCCTCCCCAGTTCGTGTTCTGTCTCTCTCTGTCTCAAAAATAAACGTTAAAAAATAAATTTTACTACACGTGCAGAGGCGCTCAATAATGCAGTTGAGACCTAAAGAAATGACCAAGGTAGTCAGTTTTTATACATTAAAGACAGTATAAATCTATAAGGACTTGACAGGACAAAGGAAATTTTGGGAGTTCCAACTAGCAAGGAACTCTGAACGGAATTTGGGTTGAGGTGTCAATAAGTGACAAGTAACAAGGGTTGTCTGTACAGCCTTCTTGGCTCCAAATTTCCTGTCTCTGATAAGGACGTCTTGGGGCATAGTAAGAGTATTTCCTTTTCACACGGGGGTTTATTTCCTGCTGAAAGAAGGGGATCCGAGTGTCCCTCCTGTATAGTCTGTCTCTTAAGTAACTTTTACTTAAAATAACCAATATGCCAACGTGGGACATTTTGGGGTGACCTGCCCTTGGCTCCTCCAGTTCCTGAAGTTCCACCCATCACATTCAAGTTGAGCTGGTAGATTGTTCCTTCTTGTTGAATCGGTTTCTTTTTTTTTTTTTTTTTTTTTTAATTTTTTTTTTTTAATGTTTTATTTATTTCTAGGAGAGAGNGCGGAGCAGGGGAGGGTCAGAGAGAGAGGGAGTCACAGACTGAAACAGGCTCCAGGCTCTGAGCTGGCAGTCAGCACAGAGCCCGACGCGGGGCTCGAACCCACGAACCGCGAGATCATGACCTAAGCGAACGTCGGATGCTTAACCGACTAAGCCACCCAGGCGCCCCTGAATCGGTTTCTTAATACTGACAATAGGTCAATTCAGTTAAACTCATTTTAGGATGCAGGTACCTTCTCAAAGTTAAGCCTGTGATTCAAATAATGAGGTAAGAAGAGGTTATGGAAGTAGAAGAAAAACAATGGTTAATGATTGGATCAAATTATGAACCAGTTTCTGACTTCTGAGGGTAGCTAGTTGAGAGCATTCCTAGATGCAGGCTTAAAGCATCTTCGGGTAGATGTTTTTAGGGCAGATGTGGCAACGTGACAGGTTGTAGTTTGAGTGTTTCTGGTGATGGTTTTGGGTGGAACAACAGGCATGAAGATTACAGATGAGCTGTTACGGTGATTTCTCTGAAGTTTACATCACCTTGTTCATATTCAGTTTGCAGGGCTTCAGTAAGAAGGGCAGTTTTAGTTCTCAAATGATTCCAAGTCAAAAGGATGGGGGAAAAAATAGAAGACATTCATGCATTCATTTGAAGAGTTGTAGCCAGGCACTAAAGGAAACTGAAAGGAATTAGGATCTAGTCCAGTTTATAATGAATTGTATTAGAATCTAATTTACACAAAGGTATGTTAGTGAAACAAAATTCTCCCCTCAATATTCACCCTTATTTTTACCAAAGATGACTAGATTAAGGCTAATTTATTTGCAAAATAAATCTAGTTTCAATAAACTTGGCTTAATTATTGACATAAGTACAGCAAGAAGAGTGATCGATAATACAGGCTCTTTTAAATCTGCTTTGCTTGAACTTTTTGCAAGGAATCGCCTGACTGAACTTTTAACAGCCTCTGAAGGCCCAGAAGCCAAGCCAATTATTTGCCATCAGACCACCTGTAATAGCTATTGTTTGAGGTTAAGTCCTCTCTTCTTGAGGTCCCCAAAATATCCTGAAGTTCTTACACCTGCAACGAAGTGACTTCCTTACTCAGCTAGAAAGGCTGCTTGGAAAACCTGTATCCAAGTTTTTCTAAGGAGCTTTATTAGTTCCATAAAGTCCTCCTTAAAGCTCTTCTGGTCATGCCTGAGTCTATGCAGCCTCCCTCAAATACGACATTCCAGTGAAAACCTTGGTAATATAACTAATGTTTCTAATTGTGTCCTGTTATAAGGAGAATGGCTTTTCATTGAACTTATGCAAATAAAAATTATTATGAAAATGTAAGAATACTCACTGAGAGTTTAGGAACTCTGGAATGCTCAGGTAGGGGGGAAAAGATGAAATATACCTCTGTGAACAAATTGAAACATTTATCGAATTGCTGTAAGTCATAATGATTTTTAAAAAAAAAATTTAAGGAAAGTTTTTCTCTTATACACAAATGTCATAGAAATTAGAATCATCTTCTTCAGTTCATTCAGGTCCATGTTATTAATTCTGCTTGAGTCTAAGATTAAAAGCTTCTGCACAGCAAAGGAAACAACCCACAAAACTAATAGGCAACCAACGGAATGGGAAAAGATAGTTGCAAATGACATATCAGATAAAGGGTTAATATCCAAAATCTATAAGGAACTCACCAAACTCCACACCCGAAAAACAAACAACCCAGTGAAGAAATGGGCAGAAGATATGAACAGACACTTCTCCAAAGAGGACATCCAGATGGCCAACAGACACATGAAACGATGCTCAGCATCCCTCCTCATCAGGGAAATACAAATCAAAACCACACTGAGATACCACCTCACGCCAGTCAGAGTGGCTAAAATGAGCAAATCAGAGAACTCTAGATGCTGGCGAGGATGTGGAGAAATGGGCACCCTCCTACACTGTTGGTGGGAATGTAAACTGGTACAGCCCCTCTGGAAAACAGTGTGGAGGTTCCTCAGGAAACTAACAATAGAACTCCCTTATGACCCAGCAATAGCACTGCTAGGAATTTACCCAAGGGATACAGAAATGCTGAGGCATAGGAGCACATGTACCCCAATGTTCATAGCAGCACTCTCCACAATAGCTAAAACATGGAAAGAGCCTAAGTGTCCATCAACGGACGAATGGATCAAGAAGATGCGGTTTATCTATACCATGGAATACTACATGGCAGTGAGAAACAATGAAATCTGGCCATGTGTAGCAACATGGATGGACCTTGAGGGTGTTATGCTGAGCGAAATAAGTCAGGCAGAGAAGGACAAATATCATATGTTTGCACGTATAGGAGGATTAGGAGGGACTTGATGGAGGAACAAGGGGGAGAAGAAGGGGGGAAATGGTGGGGGAAAGGGAGAGAGGCAAACCATGAGAGACTCTTGAATGCTGAAAAAAATTGAGGACTGATGGATGTGGGGGGGAGAGGGGGGAGATGGGCATGGAGGAGGGCACTTGTGGGGATGAGCACTGGGTGTTATGTGGAAACTAATTTGAAAAAAAACTATTTGTAAAAAAAAAAAAAAAAAAAAAAAAAAAAGAGTCCCTGAAAGATGCAGAGCCCACAGGATTATATTGAAAATGAAACCACAATTCCAAAATTATGTACAGACGAAAACAGCCGTAAAAGGCAGGAAAAAAAAATTCTGCTTGAGTCTAGTTTTTCCACTAGTTCCAGAAATTCTTACCCAGTTCAGTTTTATAATCTTAAGGTCATCAGAAACCTGTACTTGGAATTGTTTCCACAAATCTCACTGAAGATGAAACCCATCTGCAGGAAGCTTTTGTAAAAGCATCATAGTAAAAGTAGAATTGTCTGTAAATGAGAAAAGATTTAAAAACAGTGAGGGGCACCTGTGTGGCTCAGTTGGTTAAGTGTCGACTGCAACTCAGCTCATGATCTCACAGTCTGTGGGTTGAAGGCCCGCATCGGGCTCTGTGCTGACAGCTCAGAACCTGGAGCCTGCTTCAGATTCTGTGTCTTTCCCTCCTTCTACTCCTCCCCCACTCGTTCTCTCTCTCACTCTCTCTCAAAAATAAACATTAAATTTTTTTTAATTTTTTAGGGAAAACTAGCAAGCAATAGTGAATGTCCTGTAACACCAGCAATTTTTACACTGACAAATTTATCAACAGTTTATAATTTCTAGGGTGTGTTTCTTCATAGTAAATATTACCTTTTAATAAAGCACAAAACATGTTTACTAACAGACCCAAATTGATTTTTGGTTTCTCTGTAATAAGGAAACCAAAAGTAGATAAACTTATGTTTAGTAATTAATGTTTCTTATTTTGTCTTATTTGGAAATGACCTAGATATTCAATGAATTCAACATGATTCATCACTTAAACTTAGAGGAAATGTTCAAAGTTTCAAGGTTAACAAAAAGATCTGGGGAAACTATGTAAAGAGTTTACCTATTTTTTTTCTTATTTACATCTATTTAATTCACTTGTTCTCAACGAGTATGCTTAAGTTGCCCATAAAACTTAGAGATAGCAGACAAAATCAGTCATCCTCCCAAATTATGACTATTATTTTTTGAAACATTTTATAACAGAGACAACATAAACTTATTTGACTCTAAGTAAACCCAGGCAGAATACAAGTATTAATTTTATTTTTATTTTTTGAGAGAGATGAGAGTGGGGGAGAGGGGCACAGGGGGAGAGAGAGAGAATCTCAGGCAGGCCCCACATTTAGAGTAGAGCCCCATGTGGGCTCGATCCCACAACCCGGGGATCATGTCCCTAGCCAAAATCAAGAGTTGGACGCTCAACCGACTAAGCAACCCAGGTACACCTAAAAGTTTTAACTTTAATGCTGATAACTTTAAACTTTGCT